CCAGCCAGGGCCGAATTGGTGTTTTCTTTAAAATGGAACCTCATTATTATGTTTTCTTCTTCTTCTTTTTTTTTTTTTAATAAAATTGATTATTTTTACTGATTCCTCAAGGGCATCCCTAAGTCAGACTGGCTTTGTGTGTGTGTGTGTGTGTGTGTGTGTGTGCGTGCTCTAATTGTTTTATTAGATGCAGTCATAAAATTACAGTTTAATAAATGTATCCAAAATAGGTAAAACATACAATAAAAAGTAAATAATTATAAACTCTCTATATATTATTTATTGAAAATGTGAGTGTAGGTGATTAATGTAGTCACTATTACTCTTACAAGTTTTGTTATTCCTCTTTTTTTTATTTTATTTTTTCAAATACATTTGTCTCTGCCTACCGCTCACCACTTTCCCTTGCCCCCTCCCTCCTTCGCTCCCTCAGCTCTTCCCCTTTGGTTTTGTCCATGAGTCCTTGCTATATGTTCCTGTTTTCTTCTTTTTGAAGAAAATCCCCTGACAAGTTCCTGACATGTGGGCCCAAAGCTGGAGGATAAAAAGAATTAGGCCTGAAAGAATGGCAGTGTTACAAAAGAACAGGCTGTAGACAGTATGAATCTTAAAAGACAGGCTCTGGAGGTGGAATACATCTCTAATGGTAGAATTTTAGAGCCTCAAGAATCAGCTAAAGAGGAACAACTCTTTTTGTCAATGGACTATACCCAATGTTCCTCAAATCACAAGTGAGAAGTATTGAACTCTGTACATTTACAGGGCCAGCTCTGCTCAAGAGGTCATTTACATCTTCCCCAATATCTTCCTGTTAACATGTAAATGTCAATATGCAAATATCAGCCACAATAGGCTTCACCTCCTTTCCTAAAGATACCTGGGACTAAAATGGACTTTGAGCGCGCACAGCCACATCGATGTCTTTCGCGGGCCCTAGATACTTTTGCCTTCATGGGTCCCTTCCTCCATTAAAGATAAAATAAAATCAATACATTTTATGATTCCACTGTTATAAAGACAAATATGCAAATATTATATGTCAAAACTTTTTTTTTGACTGAAATGTCCTTCTTTTTTCTTCAGGTTTTAAAATAAATTAAAACATTTTCACTGGGTCCTAACAGATTTGGGGCCCCTGGGCACGGAGCCTGCTGTGCCCAGCAGAGGGATCAGCCCTGCTCAAGAGGCTGTACTGCTTCTTTACGGAAGACCTCACACTTGAAACTGGCCAGAAGTGGCCTTGTCTTTACTTAACAGATTGCAAAAATAAATTTTGTGCACAATAAATATCAATCGATTAAAAATATTTAGAGATATCAAGAGTTCTCTTAAACAATGTGAATATTTCTCTCCTTTTTGTCTTAATGTCCATTTTGGATCCACAGGCGACCAACACTGGCACCACCTGGAGGTTGTCAGAAATGCAGAGTATTGGCCTCCATCTGATCCTGAGGTAGAATTTGCATTCTGACAAGATCTCCAGGTGATTCATATGCACATTACACTGAAGCATTCTGGCCTGCAATCTAAACAGAATTGTTCATCATTAGTACAAGTGGAAGAGATGATTCCTTTAACCTTCTATAATTGATGGTTGGCTCTCACCCCTCCAGTGGCAATAAAGTCAGTTCCTTTAGTCCAGCTGTTCCCAACTTTGGTGGACCACTGGAATCAACTGGGGGACCTTTAAAAAAAAAGAACCCATCCTCAGGAGATTCTGAAATAATTGGTCAGGGGTGGGATTGTGGGAATCAAAAACTTTTGTTTGTTTGTTTTTTAAACTTCCCAGACGACTATGAGCAAATCCCTGACAAGATTTGACCCCTGGTTTTGATCATGTCGGCTATTGTTCTCTGCATTCCTCAACCTTCTCAACCTCACCAAGGAAGTACATACTCCAGATCTAGTTTTGACATGCTCTATTAACTATCTCAAAGGTCTGTAGTGTTTTCCTAAAATATCCATACTCTGAAATATTAATTGCCATCATTTCTTGCTATGTCTCATATCACCTTCAACAATTTAATCTTCACAATGACAGCAAATACTATTCTTGTGCCCATTTTACAGATGAGGAAATGGAGGTTTAGTGAGGCTGAATCTTCCCAATGTCATCCTATTTCTAACTCCAAAATTTGACCCCTCCTCCAATCTATCATCTTCTAATATGATGCTTTTATTTAGGAAAACACTGATTTCCTAACTCATATGGCCAGACATGAGATTTACAACTATTTAATCTCTGAGAATTATTGGCAAAGGAAATAGAATGAAGAGCAGGAAAGAATTACGTAGGTAGTAGAATTTGGAGTGCTTATAATCTATCCAAGAAAAGTTTGAAAATTGTGATATACATTTTCTTTCCCACATAACTGATGTGATAGTTCACTTAAAAAACAAATAATAAAGCCCTGGCCAGGTGGCTCAGTTGGTTGGAGTGTTGTCTTGTACACCAAAAGGTTGTGGGTTTGATCCCTGCTCAGGGCATATATGTAGGTTGTGGATTCGACCCCTGGTTGGGGTGTGTACAGGAGGCAACTGATTGATGTTTCTCACTTGCATCGATGATCCTCTCTCTCTCTCTCTCTCTCTCTCTCTCTCTCTCAAATCAATTAAAACATATATCCTCAGTGAGAATTAGAAAAACAAAACAAATAAAGACTCCAGAGCTCGGGTTTTTATACAAATGTTAAATACTCTAGAGGTGCCCTGTGTTAGGACTATGGAGATTACTGGCATAAGAAACAGTCTTTGTCCTTGAAATGAGAAGTTGAAGAGAGGACTGGAACCTGTAACAGTCCAGCATATGATAGCGAATATAAGCAGGTGCTAAATTGTGTAATGAGGTCCTTCAACTTCCTTAAAGTTCAAAGGCTGGCAGAAACCCGGGCAATAAACAAAGGCTTTATGGAGGAGTCCTGTCTGAAATCTGTAAGGATGAATGGAGACTGAGTAAGTAGAAAAGACAGTGCTCAGTTGGGACGCTGGCATAAGACTCACTAAGAAGTTAGAATTTTCCCCATTGAATTGCCAACCTAGTTTCTTGTTGGCTGAATGTCCCTTGTCTGGGGACTGAGAGAATACGAGTCTTTGAGTTCTAAACACTGTCCCAGCCAAGCATAGCTCTATCTCAGTGTCCTGAGTGACTTATATGCAGCAAAATCAATCAGATGCGAAGGGGTATTTACACAACTGATAGCTTCCTGACTCATACTTTCTCCGGCTTCTTTTAAGGTTGCTAGAGTACACTTTGCTTAATATTTGAACGTAGAGAAGTTGAGAGCCAAGTACTTATTTAAATATTGATCAAGCTCTGTGCTTGAGAGAAGGCAAGAAAACTGCAGATAGCATGATTGTATGTCCTCAGCTGGCGAGGGTTTCACAATGACTAGTTTTGCCTGTTTCTTTTTCATGGGGAAGGAATTTTGGGGCAACTTCTAGAATAGTTGTTTCTCCTCCCACATTTTCTTTCTTTTTTTTTAAATATACATATCTGACAGAATTAATGAAGAGAAAAAAAAGGTCGAGGTGGAGGGTGGAGAGAAGAAAGAAAAGAAAATGCACAGTGATTCAATACTAGTGACGTAAAAAAGGGAGAATAACAACAAAAGCTACTAACACATCAATGTTTTTGCTCACCAGACTCTGGAAACCATTTTTGTCTGGTGTGTTGATTCAGTTAATCTTCAGTAGACAGTTAAGGGTTAGAAATATTTTTGAAAAGGATATTATTTTTATTTTGAGTACCATGAAATTCTGGCAATGGACAGAAACTTCTTTTTTTCTTTAAAAGGCAGCACATGAGGCCAGGCCTTGGATTCATGGGCTCCGTAAAGCCCAGTCAGCTGGGATTCAGGAGTGCAATGCCAGTTTGGATCCTTTTATTAAGGCGGAATGCCCCACCTTTGCTTTGGAGCAGGGCTAAGGACTGCAGACACGCCACAGTGTATCCTTGTTACCTTCTTCAGCCTTTCTCTCGTCCTCAGGACCTGTATCAGCAAGGTGGGCTGGACAAGGTGAGGATGAGAAGGGAGGCTGAACCGACCAGGAAAGGAGTTGGTGACGACTGGGGAGAGATGCTCCCTCTGGCTCTGTGCCTCGGTGGCCAGCTTCCTCGAGCCACATCCCTGCCCTGGTTCTGTGGGCGGCAGAGCTTCGCAGGAAAAACAAAGCAGAGATTCACGGTAATTACAAGAAAATTCAAATTGGGATTTTTGCTTTTAAAGGTGCTATGATCGCCTTAAGTGTGTTTCAGGAAGGCCTGGCTGATGGAAAGGCTTCTCCGCGTGGGGTTGTGACGGTTCTAATTGGAAAAGCACGTTGGATGGTGAGGGAGTCCCTCTTACACTGTAAAAGCAGGTTACGGTTTTCATGAGAATTTTTGAATTAGAAAGATTTGCAATGGAGCCACTTGCGTGTATGAAGAACATCAAGGGAATTGCAGCTTGTCAAGCTTTGGCCCAGAGGAACCTGAGCCTCAGATTTTAAAGTAATGGGCCATGTTATGTTACAGGTGTGGTGGCTTTGCGCTGCGGGCAGCCTAAGCCTCCCTCGGGCCTGGCACAGCTCATTTCAGCAGCGGGCAGGCCAATGCCTTCCTCAGGCAGCGCCAGGGCGAGGAGGCCCCTGGAGTGTGGGGCTCACGGGCGCCGCCACCGGGGCACAACGTCGCCCTCCTCTGGCCGGGTAGGGTCGTAGCAACCTCCGCCTCGGCGATCCCAGTCCGGCCGAGAAGGGGAGCCAAGGAGAGCCGGCCACCGCCCCGCGGCGGGAGGGTGCTGGCGGAGACAGCGCAGTCGGGGTTTCAGGTTTCCTCCTGGAGCCGGTGTCGGGCGCGGCGGCGGGCGGGCCTGGCCATGTGATGCCGGGCCGGGCGGTGGGCAGGCCGGGGATACTGTGGCAGCCGGCAGGCAGTGGCGGAAGGAGCGGGGGCGGCACCAGAGGCGGGCGGCACCAGCCCGGCCTGGGAACGCGCCCGCGGCTCCGCCCCCTTCGCGCGGGCCGCCGCCGGGCCGCCGCCGGGAGTTGGCAGCTTCGGGAGAGCCTTCCCGGCTCTGGGCGCCCTCGGGCAGGGCGCGGAGGAAAGCGCCTCGCTCAGGCTGCTGAGGCTGCGGGGGCCACAGCTCCAGGTAAGCGCTCTTTGGGCTCCATCCTCCGCGTCTCTGCAGCCCTGGACGGAAAACTTGGGCTACATTACCTGAGTTCCCAGCTGCGGAGCTACTTTCTCCAGGATCCCTGGGGACGCGAGGGTCAGCCGAGGTGGAGAGGGGGTGCTGCTGTAGGCTCGGCAGCCCAAGGGATGGCCGCCGCCTCCTGGTCCCTCGGGAACGGCAACAAGTGCAAAGGGCTGCACAGTCTGGCGCAGCGTCGGCAGCTGCGGAGCGTGAGGTTGCTTCGCGGCGCAGTCGAGAGCGCAGCGAGAAGGTGGCGGCGGCCCCTCTCAACCCTGCCTCGCCACCGGAGATGGGTGGGTGGAAGCCCGGGCAATGCCCTTCGATTGCTTGGGAAATAAATGTCACTTCTGCGGTGAAGAAGGGAGATCCTTGAAAGCTGGGGTCTCTTCTCCCCATCGGTGCCTCGGCTGCAGTTTGAGGGTGCTTGGGGGAGCCAGGTCTCCAGGGAGCATACCAAGCAAAAGCTCAGGACAGAGACCCTAACATTTCTTTCGTGTGGGAACACCTGCTGTATCTTAAAAGATATCTACAGTTACCTTGGCTAGGAGAGGAGGTCAGAATTCTGTCGGATTTACATATGCTTATTTTATAGATTCGTTTGCCCCTCGAACACCTGGGGTATGCGTGGTGGTGCCCTAACCTGCTCATGCTTAGAGCTTCCACAGGGGTCATAACGGTGGGCCTGTGCTTGGCCAAGGAGGCATCTTCGCCTGTCCAGGGCTGCGTGGAAGCCGGGCGCTCAGGCCGCCTTGGAAACCCAGCTCTGGTTTCCCAGGCACCAATTAGATTTCCAAGACAGAATCCATCTGCCTTCCTAGGAACGCATAGCGTCCCCCCATTGGTTACAGCTAGGCGGGTCAAGGAAAGGCAGCAACATCTGTATTTGTATTTGCACAGCGTCTCCCTCCTTGACCCCTGTCTGGGTCTCGACAAATATCCGCAGATCCAGAGTTATGATGGAGGTTAACCACCAGATCAGTGCCAACTGGGTAAGAAATACGGACAAGTATGACGTTCAGAAAGAACTGATCATTTGAGGTCCCATGGAGTCTCCAGTTTTCTGATTTGTCATCATATGTTCCTAAGGCTTGGAGGTGTCAGGGGAAGCAAAATCCTGTTCTCACAACAAAAGCAAAATAAAAGATCTGTCCTCGTTATGTTCTGTGGGTTGCTCTTTGTATCCGTCCTGCGTTTTTGTACACACGTTCTTAAAGCATATAGGTATTTGCCTGGTTTTAATTAATGGCCAAGCTAACCTTTTGGAGTCTTTGGAGGAAAAGAAATGAATACTGCGAAAGTCTTTGGAATTTATACAACACAGTATTTCAATGTGATGTTCTGATGTGGACTTCTTATGTGAGTGTGCTCATTCACTTTGGTCAAATATGAATTTGGATAGCATCAGACCTCATATTAGCAGTTAGGGAAACTGAGGCACAGCTAGCTAATGGGCGTGTGGCTCAGGACAATGTCCTGGCTAAGGGGAGAATGGAGAACAGAGAATCAGTGTTTTTCCTGCTTTTGACTATGTTTTCTTCCTTATAAAAACCTGACTAACCAAGAGCAAGTTATGCAACAGGTGTGCCATTAGACTTTCCTTGGAAGAACCTGTCCTGTCCTTTAAGTGGTTCAGAAACAATCCAAGAGGAAAACAGTACAGGCATAGCTCCGAGATATTTTGGGTTTGATTCCAGACCCCCACAATAAAGAGGGTATCACAATAGAGCAAGTTGCAACTTTTTTTGCTGGTGAGGGTCTGTCTTCATTCGTTAAAAAAAGAAAAAAAGCAACATCTGTGATATGCAATAAACTGAAGTGTAATAAAATGAGGTATGCCTGTAGTTGGTAACCAAGGCTTTATGAAATTTCATCAGGGGTCTCGCACCTTTTTTATATTAATCATGTGAATACTGCAGTAGAGTTTGGAATATTTTCCCATTGTCCTGTAATAGAAACTACTGTTGTGGCTAAGACTTAAATTGGGTAGGAATTTCAGGTGAGCTCTGATATGTGCTCTCCCTTTAGTGTATGCCATGTGAGAAGAGGAAATGTTTTAAATAGGTATTAAAGTAAATAGTGGAATATACTATTACTCTTATATTAAACATTCTGTACAAAACTGGTAACCACTATACTGGTACATAAGCTGTAACTTTAAGTCCTGCCAAAATTTATGACCAAGTACTGACTCCCTAGAAAAGATTTATTACATAAATGCTGGAAAATCCTTCATGACTGGGGCATGGCTGGGATGGTACTGCACAGATCCCCAATTACTCTTAACTCCCAGCCTGACTGGAATTTTATTATGCTCTAATTTACTGATCAGATACAACAGATCTGGTTTATGTAGGTTTTGTCTAATTGCATTTGTATTTATGTTGCCTTAGTGGAGCAGAAAAGCTATAGGATATTTTTTTCCCCTGTGACCTTAAATAAGATTTTGTTATGAAGAGAAGGATCAAGCTGGGCAACTCCTATTGAGAGCTCTAAATTGGAAACTGTGTGGTATTTGAAATGCACCGAATTCAGGGAATTTTGCCCTGTTAGAATTATACTGTAAATATTACGCTACCCTGTGGGACCTGAGGTCGGATCCCTTACTCAGGCAAAGCTAGGCTTGGTGATATTTCTCTCAAGAAGTGCAGGTCCTATATGACTAAGCATTTTGGCCCTGATTGGATGGTAGTCTGTCATTTTGTCCAGTACCTATAATCCTTAGTTCTTTTATTATTATCCTAGTATTCAAAAGCTTAGAGTGGTGTCATTCTGCTGTTTAGCCATTTTGACAGTCCCTTTCATGCTCTTCTTTCTGTGACCATTTTCTTCAGTTATATTCATTCACCAAATATTTGAGGGTCTACCATGTGCCTGACTCTGTACTTCGCTTTAATTCCCTGGACTGTGGATTTCATGTTTAAGGTAATACTTCTCTGGTTTTAGAGTTTTTAGGATCTGTTGCATTTTGAGTGGGCTTTTGCACACTTGACACTAAGATGTTTGTCTGGTAAAATTTCGTGTAACTTTTTTTTTTTAATGTGATAGTACATCTTCTTAATTGACTGCAGTTTTTCCTTTGAAATTTGATCTTAGGCACAATTGTAATTTGTTTATTTCTTCAATTGCTGCTCCTGGACTTCTTCTCCTGGATAACCAAGATAATGAGATTTGACATCATTTTTAATATGAAAGTTAAAAAGTTAATATAACTGAATATTGGGTATTTGTTTCAGAGATCTTGGCTTTGAACACTTTTATCAGATATATTTTAATTTGTCTTCAGAGGTATCTTCTCTTATTTTAGTTTAATCTTTTTCTTAATTATCAACTCGAGGTTGGATTTCTTTAGAAAGTTAATGTAAAAGTAATGTTCTCTTAATAGTAGAGAAGACATCTTGTATCCGTGAGCGGAGACCAGCCCAGGAGAGCTTGGCGGCAACACCTTCACTCTTCCTGGCAGGTCCCGAAGAGACTCTTCTAAAATCAGCACTCAAGAACATTTCTGCCTATTTTCAAGTGGCAGGTTTCGTTTGAGTGGTATGTACACAATCAGTCCACCTTTTAAAATATGCTTAAAATGGGCGCTGGCTGTGTAACTCAGTTGGTTAGAGCTCGTTTGGATACGCCAAGGTTGAGCGTCCTCTCCTTAGGACAAGATTGTGGTTTGATCCCCAGTCAGGGCATGTATAAGAAGCAACCAATGAATGCGTAAGTAAGTGGAACAACAGATTGATGTTCTCTGTCTCTCTTTTCCTCTATCTTTCTAAAATCAATCAATAAAATTTTTTTTGAAAAGCTGAAGATGTTAATATGCTTTCTATATTTCCTCATGGCATACACATAGATTTTCCTTTAACTTAATAAATAGATGATCATATATTACATATATAAATGGAATTTATGGTCTAGCTCTTAAATTCATTATCAAACATTTTGTGCTTAAGGCTTGTTCTTTCTTTTCCATCATTTTATAATTTAAAGAAATTATCTTTCATGAACCACAACAAAGTGGTTAAGAGTGGGGACTCTGGAGCCAGACTGTCTTGTTAGGCAGCCCTGGCTCTGTCCCTGCTGGGTGACTTCTCTATACTTCCTGTTTTCCCTTTTTGAAATGGGGATAATCATTGTAACCTGTCCCCTTGGATGATTGTGAGAATACAATGAATAAATTTACAGAGAGCCCTTCTAGTAGTGCTTGTCAGAAGGAAGTGACAGAAAATGTTGGTGGTTATATCTGAAACAAATGGAAAACACATTTTTAAAAAAGTAGCTTTAGCAGGTTTCCCAGATTTCCGAAGGCAGTGAGATGTCAGTGTGACCTTGAGAGAGCACCCTAGGCTTCGAGATCAAGGCAGGGACAGAGACAGCTGGGACCTCTCAATTGTGTGTTGTTAGGTGAGTAGGAGCTGTCTCTGGGCCTCAATTTCCTCATCTGGTGGAATGGAAAGGAGTAGACTTGATGGTTTCTAAGAATCTGCGAGTTCTAACATCATGAAATTTCAAAGCGAGGAGGGCATTGGTCAATTCAGCCTTTGTGTCTTGGGCAACACTACCAGGAATGTACCGTCCGCAGAAGGACCAGCACTGTGCTCTCAGTGGGTGGTCAGCAAGCATTTGAAGGGTTGAACTCACTGCTCTGAACATGCCTCACCTTGATCACCAGACAGTCATCAGGTTGCAGTGACTGAGATATCTTTCTGGACTTAGTCCAGAGAAATTTCAGACATGGAAGCCTGGATCCCATGTGTGCAGGTCATAGGCTACCTTTCTCCCTCTCTTCTGGCTCCACCATTGGGAAGAGGTGCAGGGTAGCTCTGGGAAGATGACAGATGAGTGGGCTGATTGTTTCTGAGTTTCATGATAAAAATTTCCACAGCTGATACACAGGAAAACATCACCATTAGCTTTTGCAGGGACGCTGTACACCAGGACTTGAAGTGAAGGAGGTCTCGGAC